CTTATGAACAGTTAGTACCAAAAATTCAAGACAGTCCTAAGGAAACAACGCCTTGTCGACTATGATCCTAGCATTTGTATTTACTTGAGCCTAAATAACTTATTTTATGACTTGAAGTGTATCCTACTTATGCTGACAGGTATGAGTAGTATGTAGCACCAATCGAAAGTGGAATGCCTGGCAGCAGAAGATTGAATTGAAGACAACAGGAAAGGAAAGCAAGAGAAGAAAACCGATAGCAATCAATGTAACAACAGGAGTGAATGAACGATGAAGTTTGTAAGAGGCATTTCAAAGATGTGCAATCGATGAATTTAACGAATGATTTTCATGCTTTACTGAGACACTATATGATTTGTCATCGAACAATAAATTGGTCATCCTTAGGTCTTCGTTCACTATAGACTCCTCAATTCCAGTGTATCTATCGACCTTTGTCTATCCATAAACTAGATTTTACCGGTATACATCTTATCTCTCAACTAGCCATTTAGTCATATTATCTACAGCATGTTTACGGATGTTCACAGTAAACTTATATTTTACTGAAATTGAAATGGACGTAGGAAACTGATATAAATTTATATAAGAATTCATAAATCAGTTGTATCTCTTGGAACCCAACTACTTAAAAAATACAATAAATTCCTGTTCAAACTGTATTTATTTTCGACTTATTCATCCAATATTTTGTGTTCTTTTGAAGTTAAGTTTGGAGTGCATCAAATTTTTTTTATCAAACAAAAATAGATTTGATGCAGAAAAGAATGAATGGATCCTACCACAAATGGTCATTGAACATACACAATTGCCTTCAGTGAATTCAGATAATTCGTCTAATCGATATGACTCAAATTACGGAACCACAGATGGTAACGTAGAATATAATGCAATAAAAGATTTGAAATGGGCCGATAAAAAAGAATCTAGACTGTACGCTAAACTAGATGATCGGATACAAGGTAATTATTTCGCAAGCCGACGTGCAGATCAAATATTACGCGATGCAGGTAACTTGATATTATTGTCACTGTAGTTAAAGACCGATCCACACTACATAGCTAACGACCTGGTAGTCTATCAATCCAGTTCTAGTAACCAAAGATTTCCAGCAGATAACATAATTAGGAATAAAGACCCATAAAAAATAAGATTTCCTCAAAATAAGCTATCAAATAGCCGCTCATATCTCATGTCCTGTCCTGTTTGACAATAACATGCAAGGCGAAAGTCACATTAAACAAAAGTGTAAGATGTGAACATTACTGTACTAATTGTGGATACTCAAGACTTTTATATGGATACCATAATTATTGTTTATTAAGTCCCGATGGCTTTCAGTAATCGTTGTTAACATAAATGTCTGTAGTGTAAGTCAGTGAAATCGAAACAAGTTTAAAACATCTTAATAGTTAGAATTTTTGGTAAAAAGACTAATTAGAATATTTATGGTCAACTAAAACATTAATAAAAAATTTTAAAAAACTTCTAATACTACGACTTCCCGTGGACAATGAGTAATTCAAATGGTATTAAGACATTTAACATGACTTATGAATTAATTCAATCCGTTTCGAATGATAAAATTATTAGCTTTACCTTTAACGATATACTCTAACTAAATGGGACCTCCACATCTTAGCGTAAGCATGGAATACAATAGATAGTTTGGGAGCAACTAGACGATTTAGACTTCACGAATGACCTAGCCCTTCTGCTCATACATACCAACAAATACAGAACAAAGCAACTAGTACAGCAGAAGCCTCTGCATCACTAGGCCTCAACATACAAAACGGAAAAAGCAAGATCCTCAAATACAACACCGAGAACACCAACCCAATCATACTTGATGGAGGAACTCTGGAAGAGGTGCGAACTTCCACGTACATGGACAGCATCATTCACAAACAAGGAGGATCGGATGCCGACGTGAAGGCAAGGACTGACAAACTAAGGGCAGCATCCCTAAAGTTGGAGAACTGATGGAACTCAAAACAACCGTCAACCAGTATCAAAGTTAAAATCTTCAATACGAACGTTAAGACGGTACTGTACGGAGCTAAAATAACAACCATAATCAAAACAGTACAAGTACTTATAAACAACTGTCTACACAAGATACCCAATGTCCGTTGACCGGATACCATCAGCAACAGCCTAATGTGGGAGAACAAACCACCTTCCAGTTGAAGAGGAAATTAGGAAAAGATGTTGGAAGTGAATAGGACATATATTGGGGAAATCATCAAAATGCATCACGAGGCAGGCGCCAACTTGGGATCCTGAAGTGTAAAGTAAAAGGGGGAGACCAAAGAACACACTGAGTCGAGAATTGGAAGCAGACACCAAAAGAATAACATCTGGAAAGGATTTCCCAGGACTGATTTTGATGGAGAATGCTGGTGGCTGCCCATGTCCCTCCACGAGGAGTAACAGGCGTAAATAACTCCAGCTAAAGTTCTTCACGAATGAAGTTTGGGACAACTGTGGCTCTAACACAAGTCCAATGAGTAAGTTGTATGATCTGCTGCTCGCAACTTGAAAAATAGGTACTCAATGATTAACCTAGTCAGTTTTACCATGGAATAGTACCATCTTTTCAAAAACTTGAGCAGAAAAAAACGAAAGACCCGTCATCTTTCCTTAGCTTTTGTTTATTCGGAAACAAACTAACGTGCTTAAAAGTCCTAGACGTTAGTTAACAAATTTAGGCACCTATAAATTATGACAGTTAGTGGAAGTGTGAATCCAATGTACATTACTAAATTAAGAATGTATGCCCTTTCATTTACCGAAAGAATCATGAAGCGGTAATTATTTGAATTTTCGAACTATTAGTAAAGAATCCTTTTCTCATACAAGTAGTGTTCGATAGAAAAACTAAAAGCATGAGATTATCAATGATTAAGCAGAAAGTAGAGACACATTCACTGATATGCACTTACACAATCCTGCTAAGTTTAGGTTGATTAAAAGGTTAATGAATGTTGAGATGACGAACTACCTCATTTCAGGGAGGAACTTTTAGATACTAGGTTTCTTCAAAATAGTACCAGGAGATAAAAACAAGACAGAAAATCAATTTTACATACATTTTCATCCACAAGATGATGCGAAAGTTACTAAACTTTTTATCGTGCTAAACACAGCTCAAAGTTATTTCATAAATACCACTGATAAATGTCTAATTACTTTCAAATACACGATTTCACACACTTATCAAAAACAAACAAATAAATAGGGAGTTTGAACTAAATCATAAGTATTCCCACCTGGCTTTACCATGCATATAAGAAATGCATTAACTGTGACGTTTGGGGTAAAAATGATGCATAACCATAATCCAGTACATACCTAGTCTGCGATCAAATTACTTTAAGTTTTGATACTATCACATCTTACACCAATAAAAAATTAACACATTGCAGTATGATATGCACATAACTATATGTTTAGAAAGATAATGTTGTAATTTTAATATTGTTTTTCGCCTCCTATTTGCTGCAGGATCTGAGTCTGAAAGATATAGACCCAGCAATCACACGGCTAGACTGAATAATTTCTCTTGTAAACTGACTACTGGTAACACAGAATCAGCATCGCTTTCGTCTTGTGAAGTCAAATCAACTTTGGATACATACTTGCATTGCCCGGACGTAAGAAAAAAACCAATGAACTTAAACCCCATGTCTGGATTCGCACTCAATTCCACGCATGTTTACGGACAAGAGTCGCTTGGAAAAGTAAAATGGCATTCGAAAATATAGAGTCAATTATTATTCAATATATCATAATACACAACTGAGTATCGGAAACATTCTCGAATGATGATATTTAGGACTACTTTAGAAAAAAACTTATGGTGTTACATCTACATAGTCATAACATAAAATAACTAGATACATTTTAAAATACAAGCCATTGTAGATTTTTATTTTTAAAAAAGAAAGATCTTAAGTTTCCCATAAATTTTACTTCCTAATTTCCCGGTTAAGAGTATATAACCTTAGAAGTCACACTAGGATCACGAATCAAAACAGTTTCAACGACTTTTTGTAGAGTTGAGTAGTAAAATCACGTTTTGTTATGTGTGCATTCTGAGAACGAAATTCGCCACCACATGAGTCAAATAAAAATGGGTTGCGTAGAATGTGAGCCTGTAATATTCTAGTTAGCGTAAAAAACAAATTTCAACGGAATTTCGAACAAAATTTAGTCATTTAGCTTGAGGATTTGTCAAAACCTTCTAGAACCCACTTGAGATATATATTTTCTAAAAGATAAAGGGAAGTTTGAAAAAGGCAGTAAAAAAGTATACACATCATTTAACCAGGTGATAATACCCTGTATGAATAATTTCGTTACGTTTTTTTAGGAGAACACAGAAAATATATTAAGTTAGCTGCAAATTATGGAATCAGATGATGAAACTAGTCTGTGGTTCATCAGCCCCCTAATTTATAGTTTAAATCTTGTAATCCTCTTAATCTTGCAGTTCAAAATTGTCGAAATGAGAACAGATAGTGCTTCATTTAATATATAACCTACCAACACAGCTCAAACCATTTGAGTAAACTCAACATAGAAAACGAAATCGACATCTGAAGAAACACCAAAACGATTTTCGAAAGCTTTGCGATAACGATTGTACCTCAGTTTCTATATAAGGATCAAACCGATGACTCAGATTACAAGTGAATGAAGCTTTGTTACCGTTATCTACTCTCAGCAGTTCCGAAACGTCCCCAACAACTACCGGAGAACACTACTGAAGAATTCTATACCTCCTTATATAGACCATCTAAATTGACTGGTTAGGAACAGAATTTCAACTAAGTTGCCTGCAAGAAGAGACTCAGATAATGGGGTAGTGAATCCGCAGTTGCCAAGGCAACGAAAAGTTATATAAGCCCACCAAATACCCATCGAAATAGACTGGACGGTAGTAAAAAAACAAACTAGAAAAGCAGTGTATCATCTGTCTACAGATAGGGAGTATAGGTTGATCATGATAAAGCCGTAATGGCAGGAAGAACAAGTTATTACTTTTGTTACATTAACAACTCAAAACCTATTCGTAATGCAGTTTAGATATATTCTTCATTCTGAATAAATTAAAACAAGTTACTGGATTTAACTCTACATCTTGACCTCCGTTAGCAGTTTCATTTACTACTACTGTCCCGCTAGTGAGCTTGATAAGGTCTCTGAAGCAAAATATTTAATCAAAAATCATAAAAATAACACAAGGAAAAAGACACTTAAGCTAGTAACAAAATACATGACTTTATGTTTAAGCGAATAGAACTTACAATATAAAAAACCAAGTGTAAAGAAGTTATTGGATGAATAAAGTGAACAAAATAAGTCAAAACTATGGTACAAAACCTAGGATCTCACACATAAATTGTATAAAAACTATCACCTTAGCTCAAGATTCACACATTGGATGAGTTTAATGTGTTTAAAGTATCAGTACTTGAAGGATTCGTAATAGTTGGCAACTCGATGATCACACTGGATTCATCTGACTTGTTGTTATCCGTCTTTTGTGTGTCATCAGGATCGATCAGGCTTGGCCATTCGATGACTTCATTTTGTGTCCTTGAAGAAACACCAGCTTTTGCGAAGCGTTCATTTAGAGCCTTCAGAGCAATGCGCCTAAAGTAACAGGTAGGAAGGGGGGAAACGAGAATTACACTATAGAATATATGTGAATAAATAATAGTAGTAATGCCTAACAGAAATAAAATAACAAAAAAATAATAAGATTATAACCAGCATGATTTCCCCCCCCCCCGAGTATCTGGAGACCCCAATTCTACTTCTTGTGGACTCGCTGGTGTAGTTATAGCATTGGGTTTAAAAGCAGAGTAGGCTCTGTTAGATTGGATTTCAACAGACAGTCACTTGTGCACCGCCCGACTAAACGGGACTCGGGGAAATGGGGATACAAGACGTTACCTTTTCGTGGTCTCTGCCTAAGCTTCCAGTGATCGCAGCTCGGATGAAGTTACAGATGAATTTTATGGGAAGCTATCCAACTTCATCCACAAACCTAAACGTAATAGTGACGAGTGACTTAAATCCTCAAGTAAGTAAAAATACCAAGCCGAAAGGCACTTAGGTGGATCTTACGGTGTTGCGACTCAGCGAACAGATAATGGAGAACGTCTATTGCAATTATGTTCAGGTAACTCTATTTTTAGCAAAGACCAAGTTTAAACATAACGAGAAACTACCACACGTAGCGACCCCCACAACGACGAACTCAAATAGATCACACTGCCATCAACCACCGTTGGAGGGGTTCGGCAGAAGACTAACACTCACCCTGAAGCACATGTTTGGACTTGAATCATGATCTGGTTCGAGCACCCTTAGAGTTCAACTGCAACTAGACGTAATCCCATTTGACTGATCTTGATCGCTAATCATCCCAGTTCATAAGAAACGACAAAAAACCCCTTGTGAAAATCACAGAGAAATCAATTCAACTAATATAGTGTCTAAAATATTAGCCTCAATAATACTTCGATATTTACCGAGAGCTCGTGAAAACAAAATCCGAGGAAACCAGACTGGTTTTAAACCTGGACGTGGATGCAAAGATTAAATATCCAACCTTCCGCACGTTCTGGAAAAAAAGACATACTTTCCGACATCCGATTAATTATATTCCATTACCTCAAGGTGGCATTCGAATAAATTGATCATTAGGTTTTGTGGCAATGTCTGTTATTGAAGGGCGTAGCAAAGAAGTACATTAACCATGTACAAGATCTCTACTCGAACACTATTAGTCGTCAGAGCTTATGGGAAACTTTCATCGAAATTGATTACTTCAAGTGATGTTCGTCAGGGTTGTCCGCTCTCCTCAATTTGATTCAACTCTGTCACAGACATGTTTTTAGAGAGTACACTTTCATGATTTTATTATTATTTATTTATTTGAACACATAAATATTGGCACAAGAGTGCGCCACAAAAAACAATGAGAATTTAAAGAGAAGGAAAACGAAAAAAGGCAAGTAGCGTTAAAAAAGAGAACAACGAAGAGATTGCTGTAAGGCAGTGTAATAATAATAATGGCAATAATGGGGGAACGGAAAGGTACAAACCAAAAGAATTCTTTCAGTTCAGGAAGTTACAACCACTTTTTATGAAGAAAGTAAATGAAGGTTAAAACAGCAGGATCGCCACTGGTCTTTATTCTGAGCCATATCTGATAACGTCTCTAGCCACTGTGTAGCACCATCTCTCGGACCCCAGCCAGGGAGTCGAGAAGGACCAACACAAGCCAGTCCTTTGCAGCTCTTCATACCACGACACCATGTCATACACTGACCACCTCTCCGCTTTTACCAACCAGTCCCAGAGTCAGCAAATAATGCACGACGTTAAATTCTCAGGGACGACATTCGTAGATTATGTCCAAACCACCGAAGTCGGTGTTTCAAGATGGTAACACCAATTGCATTATCGTCTCTGTGCCCAAACACACGATGCCGAACCTCTGCATTACTACTTGGTGTTGCCACTGGGTATCAGCAATCCTTCGGAGACAACGATGATCGAACACAGAGAGTCGTCTAACGTTCTCAACTCGGAGAGGCCAGGTTTCACAAGTATAGAGTAAAACTGCTCTCACCGACAGCCAGACTAACATAACAAAGGCGCCAATGATGGCCCAGATTGGCATATGCCGCTCTGGCTTTCACTATACGTGCATTGATCTCATCACTCACACCATCACCAGCACTTATGCAGCTACCCAGATACACGAACTTCTCGACTACTTCTATCTGCTTACCATCCAGGGTGAGTACAGGATTGGAATCCTGCCAGTCTTGTAGAAGTACTTTTCACTTCGAAGGTGCAAAGCACATACTGTACCTACGGACACTGATTGCCAATTGATTAAGTGCGGATTGCATGCCTTGGGTATTATCGCACAGTAAGACAATATCGTCCGCATACTCAAGGTCGAGAAGTCTTTCTCCAGGCAACAGATCCACACCACCATTACTTACATCCACCAGAGCTGTTTCCAGAATGTCGTCGATGGCAAAGTTGAAGAGAAATGGTGAGATTGGGCAACCCTGCCTAACCCCGCTGCTCGAATGGAACAACGGAGAAAGGTGGTTGCATGCCCTCACTCTGCCTGAGGTGTTTGAATATAGGGCTTTTAGGATGTTAATAAACTTCTCAGGCACACCCTTCTTCAATAGACAATCCCAGAGAACAGTCCTGTCCAACGAATCGAAGGCAGCCCTGATATCAATTAGCACTACATTTGTTGGTCTGTGATAAGTATGACGGTGTTCTAACATTTAGTGGAGGGTGGAGATATGATCAATACATCCTCGACCAGAACGAAACCCAGCCTGCTCCTCGCGAGTCAATCTTTCTCGGCTTTTGAACAACCTACGAAGTATGATGGAAGCCAATAGCTTGGACACAATCGGAAGTAGACTTATCCCCCGATAGTTGTTACAGGAACGACGTGAACCCTTTTTAAAGATAGGGACAACTATCGACTTATTCCATGACGTTGGTACACTCTCTAGTTCACAAACGTTTGTAAACAACGTCGTCAGTTCCTTAGTCAGAAAGTCACCACCATCTTTAAAAAGAGCCGGAGGTAAGTCATCTGGGCCAGGTGATTTGTAGCGCTTCAAGAGTTGGAGTTCCTTGCGAACTTCCGCCTCATTTGCTGGATCAGTCGTCAACGGCCATGGAGGGCAGGACAGTCTGATCGATGTTGCCGGAGCAGCAGGCCAGTTGAACTGCCCTTCGAAAAATTCTGCCCACCGTCCAAGACGTTGATGGATGTTAGTGATTGGCATCCCATCATTGTCGCAGGTTGTTTCGCTCACACCAGACTTCTTGCTGCCAGTGGCTCGGATGAGCTGGAAGAGTTTCCGGTAATTACCAGATGCAGCTGCTGCTTCCAGCTCATTAGCACGCTCCGACCACCAGGCTTCTCGGTCCTTACGCAAGCTTTGCCCAATTTCCTCACCTAACATCCTTCGTTTATGGTCAAACTCATGGTCACCCGGAGTAGACCGACGGGCTTCAATGAGTTGTAAGGAGCCTGAAGAAACCCAGTGCTTATAGGCGGGACGTTTCGCGTACCCGCAACTGACTGTACCCACCATTTTCATGGCGTCATGCAATTGCAACCAATGCTAGTCTAGAAACTAGCTCGGTTCGATACTTACTAGCAACAGAAGTTGCAACCAGCTTGCTAACATCAATCCGTTGGTGGCGATCACTTCGTTGGCCACTGAAAAGTAAGGCAAGATTGGCGCAGACCAAGGCATGGTCAGAGTCCAGATAGGTACTCCAAAAGGAGCGGCAGTCTTGTACACAACCACGCCAGCGGTAGCTGATCGCGATGTGATCAATCTGAGTCCAGGCTTGAGATGCAGAGGGAGGACGCCAGCTGGCACATCGGCGATGACTGTGCCGAAAGTTAGTGCTAGCCAGGGACAGATTGTGGTTTGTGCATAGTTGCAGTAGACGGTCCCCGTTATCTGACCTACGACCAACGAGTCTCCATCGGCCAGCGTGTTAACTAAGTTTGAAGATAATAATAATAATAATAATAATAATAATAATAATAATAATAATAATAATAATAATAATAATTTGAATCATTTGATTGTCAGTTGAAGCAAGAAAAGTAGTTTCCATAATTATAGACAGTTCATCATCTGTGTGTGGGCTGTGATACTGCCCGGGTGCCCAGACCGAAGCAGGTGGTTATCTTCGGGGGCCACACCCCGAGCCTTTGACCTAAAGGTCTAACCCACAAGGCAGTGGAGCATCGTAAGGAGATGCAGTCCCATGGTAGCCGGTGACCGAAAATTGGTTCATACGCCATTTGTTCCCGCAGGATACTGGAGCCCATGTGCACCATTAATTTGGTTTGGGATCCGGTTAAAGCTCCGGACATTCACTTTTCGTCCTCTCATTATCGTAAACAACACCCCCGCCAAGAGAGGGCAGTGAGTAGGACTTCCCTGGTAGAGGCTGTGTGAGAGTATTCCATCATCTGACTTTCCAGGTATGATCTTCTACCAGGAAGCTCACTGGTTGATTTAGAATACGCATATGATATAGCTGTTTAGTGAAGACATAAAATGCAGTCTTCAGACCAGCTTAACAACAGTCTAAGTATGTTTGAGATGCGGTTCTCTCCGTTTAGATACAAGATCTTACTTCAAAATTGACTTGCGCCATCACCTGAATTAGTGATAGAGAGTGGTGAAGTAGTTGAACGCATCGATCACTTCACTTATCTTGGGAGTCTCGGTACTGCTGGTCTGGTGTCTGGCGAAATCTCGGCACAAATCCAGAAGGCTCGGTTGGCTTTTGCTACTTCGTAAAGGGACGGAGGACTTACATTAACTTGCCATTCAGGTTGACTAGTGATCGTGGGAAACCGAACTGTGGCTGAAGGCCAGTTGAACTGATCCCTAAAATGTCCTGCCCACCGACCCAATCTCACGGATTAAGAGTGAATAGTGTGTCCATTTTTTTCCGAGAGAGTGTCACTAACAGTTGGGTTCCTAATACCAGTTTTCTTAACAAGTCGGAAGAGTTGTCTGCTATTACCTATTGCCACTGCCTTTTCCATCTCTCTTGCTTTCGCTACCCACCACTGTTCACGATCATTGCGTAGGCTTCTTGTCAGCTTGCGCTTAAGCTGACTCCGCTCTTCGTTATGTTCACAACCAGATGGAATGAGTTCTCGAGCATCTATCAGTGCGGTAGATGCAGCTGAGATTCAGTGTTTCTCCCTAACCTTTTGGTTTACCATACTAGCAGATACCACTGCTGTTTCCACAGCTTTTCGGATATCATTCCATGCTGCATCGGGGTGGGCATCACATACATGGCTGACTAACTGTTTTCCTAGTTGTTCCTGAAATATACTCTTAGCTTGACTATCATTAAGTAGGGCCCTAAGAGGTTTCCTTGCAGCATCTTTCCTACGTCCAGTAAGACGCAATAAAATACGAGCCCGCACTACAGCATGACCTGAATTTAAGCATGTGCTCCAGAATGAGCGACAGTCTTCTATCGAGCCCCTCCATCGGTGGCTGATAGCGATGTGATCTATTTGGGTCCAACGTTGGGACGAATTAGGGGGTCGCCATGTCAAAAGATGCTTTTCCTTATGCTTAAAGTTAGTGTTTGCAAGAAACAGGCGGTTATCTAAGCATAGCTGTAACAGACGGTCGCCATTATCTGTTCTTTGAGTCACGGCACCATAATATCCACGCAGGTGTCTTTCCCTTTTGCTTAGTTAACCTACTTGAGCATTAAAGTCATCAGCCACTATTACTACATAAGAGCGCCTAGCTTTTCGGAGGTCGGAAAGCTTTCTGTGAAACTCATCTTTTACATCATCTGAGCTGCAGTCAGTGGGAGAATAGGCAGAGACGACGAATAGGCAACGACGAGTGTCCCTATCTTTCCGGATTCTTACCGTTCCGTTCAGTCGGACAGCGCACAAACGACTGTCTACTGGGATCCAGTCTAACATAGCTAGTTCTGCCCTAGGACACAATGCTATACCTACGCCGGCGAGGCCACAGGAAGCACAATCAGGGCTTCCAGATACACGAAGCGTAAATCGAGTCGGTTCTTTATTTTGGCATGGTGAGGTCAAATGAATGACGCTACTTGGATCCTGTATGCGCGTTTCGGAGACGTAGCACACATCGATGGCACGAGATTCTAAAGTACCAACTGAGGAAGCCTGTTGTCCCATTTGGCACAGTGTTCAGACGTTAAAAGCTCCTACGTGTAGTTTAGAGAGTGGTTTCAGTAGGTCAGGAATAACGTTCCGCGTACTCGAATCGTTTGCACTAGCGGTGAGAGGTGATAAAGGGACGTGAGGAGGGTTAGTCGTGGAGATAAGAGGGGTATTAGGAGGTGTAGGAAGGAGTTGAACGTGACCAAACTTTGTCTCATGCGCTGTTACGAGTATGTGGGCTGATATCACTTCCCGGCTGCCCACACCGTGGAAGGGTATTTCTTGAGGAACCTGGAAAGGAAGTCGGATTAGTGTTGGTCTTAACGACCTGGGAGCGTGACCGCAGAGCCCAAGAGATAACTGTTTGAGGCCGGTCGCGCACGACCTTTTCGTGGGAGGTCTCAAACATGTTAGCTCCGTTCTTTAAAGGGCCTTACCGCCGGAGACGGAAAACCGCGAGATAAGGTGAGGTGTGACATTTTTAGGGTCGACCTTTTCTAACCCCACCCCTCCTTGTGGGAAGACAGCATCGCTGCAGATGCTGGTCGTAGGAGGAAAACACCTTACTGCTGTCACAGCCCTCTACAGTCAGCAGTACGACTTCGCCCTCAGACCTTCAGTTGCTGCTTTTAGTCTTAACGTTCTCCAATCGACCTGCATGGCATGATAGAACCTACAGGAACATATGTTCCAGCCAATACAGCTCGGTTGGGTCAATACGATAGGCAAGCCCGACCACCGCATCAAGGTAGCAGCTACGGTTCGGTATATACCGGACAATAATCACCGCGATAAAATTGTTATAAATTCATAATACATATGATGATTTTGCAAGATGACATATCAAAACTATTACTCACATGCCTAAAATATGTTTGTAAGATTACTGTGCTACATTCTTTTCACTGATTCCATACTGAACATTATAAATGCTTAAAAAGTAGACATAGGTGGGAGAAATTTTAAACCTTGCATAAAAGTGGGTGAGGTTACGCCTTCAAGGATCCAGGGGCAAATTACTAGTTTTTTGTCATTAACATTAGATAGTTAAGTCTCATTAGAACAGTAAGAATTAGTCTATAAGGCAAAATCGGAATGTCATTGCTACTGCAGATTTCTAATGATCTGTGCATTTTCTACTGAGGAATTTAGTCAAATGACTGGTAATATTAAATGTCCACTGGTTTTACAAATGCAGTAAACCAGCTTTAAAATGGAAAAAGGACTTGTAGGTTAGGAGGATAATTTTAGTGGAGATAAGTTTTTAGATCTAGTAGTTTGAACAGATACTTTTTATCTGAAGTGCTAACGTTGTGGAGAAACAATGAAAGAATCAAATTACCCAGACTAGACTGCGCGACTCCAAGGAAAGTAAAATAGTTCCAGTGCTAAAAAGATTTTCATTCTTCACTATTCACACATAAGTCAATGTGAGAAACATAACGTGTATTGTCACATAAACACTTCATAGAAATGAACTAGAATCGTCAGTACACAAAAATATCGACATTATTAATACAGTAGCCTATCGTCCACTAAATAATATTTATACTAACGAAACTTACCGATGCCGTTCTGGATCAGAAGATATCATTCCATGTGGGCCGAGGGTCAGTAAAGGTTCTACAGTAACTTCACTTTCTCTTTTTAGTCCAGGACAAAACTTGGTTCGAAGTAGAAGTTGATAAAAAACGTTGGAAGGAATCGAGACTACTTTGTCTATTGGTTCGGGGAAGAGTCTAAGAAATAAACAAAATTGTCCATTGTATTAATGTTGAAATGATAAGCAATATATAGATATGAAGTTTAGCAGTCACCTTTTTAAAGTCATAAATTCTCAATGAGAAAGTAAACAGCCAAAACTATGCTCATTTTAAAACAAACATCATAAATATACCGACCAAGCCGAAATATTCACTGGAAGAATAAATACAGTAACAGAATTACACGTCTTAGCATTTCCACATTATATGAACAAGATAGTTCAGTTTGCTAATAAACTGAAAAAAGTGAGAATTTGTTGTGTGGAAACTTCCGTCTAGATTTGTACAAATAATTTCACAACGGATTGGTGTTGAGTTTATGAAAGAGATTAACATAAAATTGTACCTCCAGAATTTCAGCAACTAACATTAAAATAGCTTGATAAATTGAGATGTTATTAAACATATTTTAAGATAGAAACCGATGGTGACCCTGTCATTGTTTTTTATTACTTTCATAAAATTGATATCACTATTATGAATTGGAAGTTCTTCTTGGTTGAATTCTAACTAAAATTTATGACTGAGTGAATACTATTATTATTGATTGTACTACCCTTCTTTCATTTACTTTTTACAATATCATTTATGGTGTATTTCTTACAAGTGTCCTAAAGTACCAGAAGTCGTTCTTTATATGAATAAAAATAATGAATACCTTATGATGACTTCTGAAATGTACTCGGATAGCGAATGATTGAAATAAAAGATATTGCCAAAATAAAACTATGGGGGCAAGTGAAAATCAATTTTGGAGCAGGTAAACACATTAAATTAGAAAATGACTAATCATTCTGAATGTCAGATTCGGCAGATGAAAACAAAGTTTCAACCCACACATACAAAGATTAACACTAACAAGCTTAGCAAACCGCATAATGATCGGTACGTTAACTTGGCAGAAATATATGCGGGTATAGTGACACTAATTTCACCGGAGGACAACCAACTAAAAATAGTGCAAACAATATGGAATAAAAATTTATGCGAACCTAGCGAACGCGAATACTGGACGATAATCGCCTCTCCTTCCTTGAGGATGACGTTGCAGAAAGCGAAGGTAGCACCAACTACACAGGATCCCATAACAAAACAAAATACCAGAAGAGAGCCTGATAAACCCTACTGTCCACAAACACAAAAATGTAATCGACACAGCGGGGAGACCATATTGAGATTTAAAGTCAAAACCCCTGATCTTTACAAGTGATTGATTCATACTTAGTTGGATAAGAACTACGAGTACAGAAGACAAAAATGCAGAATTCCCATTGATACGTTTGACAAAAATGTTATTACCAAAGAAAATCTCTGGGAAAATCGCAAGTATTCCGGCACTTGTATTTACGAACCAATAGAAGAAAAGTATTTCAGTTCTGCTCCATACATGAAATACAAGCTTTGCATAAATAAAAATGGCCAGAATTGTAAAAATGAAAACACAAATCTCATCTGTCACTAAGTGGAAAGTGAAAAGCCTGTAAATGTCATGTATACTCGAAAAAGGAAGAGACAGTAAATCTACCACCAAAGGGACGAACAACCCGAAAATAAAGGATGAAATATAAAATATGCAAAGAAGTGATTGAACATGAAGAAGCTTCAACGATGTTATTCGCACCATCAAATGACAAAATCAGCCCTCAATCGTAAACACGGGTAGCTAAACAGCCTATATTAACTTTCGAAACCTTTACGACAGATACAACCTCCACTTGGAACTGCCTACAGACGACGGCTAACAATCCAACCGCGGTTGACGGAACCTTGTGAAGTAACGCACTATAATTAAACCTGAAACGTATGCTTAAGAAACGTGAATCTTTTGGTTCATCGGGATAATAATATCATTTTCTTAGAAAATGGGCAACCACTTATGTCGTGGTATACACGTTGATTTTTTCATGCTTTGTGCTTAATCTCACTTATTTCGACTTTTCTAAAATTTACCTAAGATAATGATCCTGGAGACTTAGCCTTTGACTTATAAAGATAGGTGTTCCGATCGATTTAGAGATAAAAATTGTTCCTGGGCAGATCTGACCGTTCGTACTAATAGATGAAGCCACATTCACTAAACCATAATAATTTTCTTCAAATCTCGGTAAAAGCGAGTAATTATTGCTTAATTCATCGATCTTTCGTGTCTAGTGATCAGGGATTATCGATGTCTTTAAACGGATAACAAAGTATATGAAGCGACTTAGTAACCTCAAGTTATTCACTTTAAATACGGAGATCATACTACAAAGTGACCCTGCACTTGTCTTAAGTAGTATAGACCAACAGAATCATAAGATAATTGTTACTTTGATCCTGTTGGCTATTCTGTAAACCCTTACTGGCTTCTATTATCATATACCTGTATGTCTGTAAGGCTGTGTTAATGCATAGAATCTTCGGATCATACATACTCAGACGATAATTCATCTAGCAATAAAATGATACATTAATCCACACAGTTCACACTTCGCTTTGATGGCTGACTCAGACTGTCTGATATCAAACCATCCCAAAGTACTTAATATTAGACTCCTAATAGATGGCTTTCAAGTGCATTCGACCATGCGAAAGAACTGTTTTCAGTAGTATGTAAAGTTAAAAGGAGTCTGGAACGGTTGCGGCCGAACTAAACTACTAATGGAAAGTAGAAGGATAGAAGTGCCAGGTAATCAGGTGCATCAGAAAGTCGTGTACAGAAAAGAGATTTTTGCCAAGCTCTCTACCGTATCTAGATGCAAAAGATCACCAAAATCTCTAGTTAGAGTATATGAAAAGAAGCAAGGATATAAAAACGTTAGGCAAGCTCACGTAAGACGCACTGTTTTTCCTTCTAAAAAAGTTTTTTTCATGTGACACCGTATAAGTTTATCGGACTTCTTAGAGCTGCAGGAAGCTGCCTTAAGGGATTACCAACAATATGTCATCGGTGTACCGACAACCCAACCGAGAATTCTGAACTCTCAGTTTGTAAATATACCCCATTACGTGGATGATATGAACAGTTAGAAAGCATTTTAGATGATTTCATAGTGTATTCATAATGTTATGAGTCCAGGTTAGATTATATCCTTTGCTTTATCACTCACAGTCAGTCAGTCAACTACAACGTAGGACCGGGCGCATATAAGCATCGGTTCAAGTTGCCACACCCGACCGTGGCTGCTACTTTGACGTGGTATTCGGACTTGTCGGTCGTAATAGGCTGATCAGCCTACCACACCTGGTAGATTGGTTGAAAAATGATAGGACTAAGAACAGCATATCCAAGGTACGAAGGTGAAGTCGTGCTGTTGACTGCATAGAAGTGTGACGGCAGTAAGGTGTTTACCTCAAACAACCAGTATAACAGCGATGCTGTCTTTCAACGAGGGAGGGTGGAGTAAGAAAGGCTTGTAGTGGAATTGAACCATAACCACACAATCTTTAAAGATGAACACAAAACAGTCTTCAGTCTTCAGCAATAAGGATAGGAGGTCTGTCGACCTATATTAATCCTTGCAGTTTGTAATACTGTGGAGGTGCAATCTCGTTTTGAATATATTAACAGACGGTGCGGATATTACGTGTTCCGGTAGGGAATTCCAGTAATTCACTACTCGGTGCAAGAAACGGAACTCCAGACGTAAACGGTTTGATTTCGGTTTTTAAACTTTCTTCGAATGTCCTCTCAAATGATCGGTTCTAGACGGAAGCAAAAGATAAGACATGTTAATACAAAGGTCATCGTTCAGTATACGATAAGCCAATATTAGATCACCCCGTACTCTACGGTAAGATAACGGAAATAAGTTAAGGTGTCTCAGTCTGTCTTCATAAGATAGGCCAGATAGACCTTGTACCATCTTAGTAGCTCGTCGTTGGACTCTTTCTAGCATATCTGCTTCATATTTGAAACAAGGACTCGCTGCTTGAATCCCGTATTCTAAATGTGGTCGCACATAAATCGGATATAGTAATCCAAACATTTCATCATCTAAATACTGAAAAGACCTACGAATTGACCATAATACCCTATAGCCTTTTGCAGCAGCAGCCTTACAGTGACTAGTCGTTTTGAGATCATTGCTTAAAATAACTCCTAAGTCTTTATAGTTTCTTGCTTTGGGTAGCATGAATCCACGTAGTGTATAGTCATACGATTCATCAGAGTTATTTAACTGCATCACTACACTCTTATTAGGATTTACTTCTAGTGACCACCTGTCTAACCATGCCACCAATGAGCTAAGATCGTCCTGTAATACTATTCTATCCGACATACTATGTATGGGTCTCCAAATCTTTGTCATCAGCAAAGAGTAGAACGGATGATTTTGCTACAGTTGGCAATTCATTTACATAAAGTAAAAAGAGAAGAGGACCTAGGATTGTGCCTTGGGGAACCCCACTTTTTACAGGTACCCACGAGGAGAGAGCCCCATTAACCCTTACCCTTTGTCTCCTGTCATGGAGAAAGTTACTTATCCAATCGACGACTGTGTTATGGATTCCAAAACGTTTCAGTTTGAATTTAAGACCAGAGTGGGAAACCTTATCAAAAGCTTTACTTAGATCTATGAAAACTACATCCACAGGAGCATTCCGATCCTTTGCCGCAGCCCACTCTTCTCGTGCAGTGAGAAGATTTGTCAAGCAAGATAGGCCTTTCCGAAAACCATGTTGTGCCCTGGAGAAACGATTTTGCCCTTCAACATAGTTTATAACAGCTATCCGAATGATTTTCTCCATCAGTTTCACAACTGCACTAGTTAAGCTAACGGGTCTATAGTTACTAACTAAATCCCTACTCCCAGCCTTATACACCGGACTTATTATGGCGTCTTTCCAGTCTCTAGGAAGTCTGGACTGTCTCAGAGACATGTCGAATAGTATCGCTAATGGTTCGGCAATTTCATCTGATATGGCTTTCATAATCCTAGGATGAATATCATCGGGACCACTGGACTTATCAGGTTTGAGATGCTGAAGTAGCCTTAAAACAGTATCTTTCTCAATGACTACAGGATCCATCAGCGAGCCGTCACGGTCACGATGAATCATTGGTCGTTCCTCATTACCGATAGAAAACACTTTACTAAAATATTCCGATAAAGCTTCAGCTTTTTCGGCATCATTCTCTGCTAAGATTAACGGATTGTCTCGTATCAAAAGTGATGGAATTCCATCGCTTCTCTTAGTTCGCCTTTTTATATACGAGAATAACCGTTTCGGACTATATCTAGAATCCCTAACCAATTGTTTTTCGTATGATAGTCTAGTCTTGCTTATTAACGCTTTACAGGCATTCCTAATCTTACAATAACTGGATCTGTATTGTTCTAAGCCAGTAGAGATGAACATATTCCAGTGATTCTTCCTTTTTCTAAGGAGTTTCCTGACCGTTTTAGTTATCCATGGTGGACTATTATTCGGTCTTCGCGGTACCAGGTATGGTATGAACGGGGACGTAACTAGTCTAAATTTACCTTTAAATACAGACCATGCTTCTTCAACTGATATGCTAGTATCTACTAACCAATCTGTCTTAGCAGCGCATTCCTGAATGGCTGATATGTTAACTTTCCATACATTTGGGCGCGGTGTAACCTGATCGTATAACATGTCCCTAGTTGTTAACGCGAATGACAAAACAGCGTGATCGCTGTTTACTAACGGTGGAAGAATATTTAAGTCGACAATATCCTCAGTCTCATGAGTGATTACCAAATCCAGCAGAGAAGAACCCTGGTTAACACCAAAACGTGTGGGTTGGGATACATGCTGCACTAGTGCATGCTCCATTATTGTTATCAGTAACCTACTATCAAAGGAGTTTATAGATCCTTCTGTGGTCATATCAGTCCAACTAATATCAGGTGCGTTAAAGTCTCCTATTATCAAGCACCTGGTATTATCACTCCAAAGATCAATGTGCTCTAAAACAAAGTCATCAGCTGAGCAGATTGGGCTCCGATAGATGACACCTAGCATAAATGTACTACATCCTATAGCCAACTTACAGCTAATGACTTCACAAGTGCCGCTAATCACTATATCTCAATTAAATCGTATTCCGCCTTATGATAAACTGCATACTTGCAACTAACTTGTATGCCCAATCAGCCGGCAAGTGTAAATATAAATAAATATTCTATCGCAGATCAGAACACTGAGTCTAGAGCATGTCTCTTACGAATACACTCATGTTTAAGGATTTTTTCCTAGCTATCTGTCCAAAATTCATATAATTATCACTAACGTATTTAAATTTTGTTTTCATAACCATTCATGTGTATTAGTAATATTACTAAATTCTATCACGGTCAAGTAAAAATGAGGTTGAGAAAATCTCCCCGTAACTAAATAAACCGTATCAAACTAACTGGAACACTAGTTGGAATTCTTCTCCACGTTAATACTTTTGTTCTTTCAGTTAGCCTACTAATACAGATGCGATTGGAAATCAACTCATATGGAAAACTTACCGGCATAATCGTTATTTGATTTCATAATTTAAACCAAAACTAATACCAATATTAACATTTCTACACTATTCATTACTTTAATATTTCTAAACACAAAATACTTACTACTTATACTTATATAAGTTATTAACCAACGGCTATTACCACGGATCGTTTTATTATTATTATTGTAATCCCATTATTATTATTATTATTATTATTATTATTATTATTATTATTATTATTATTCACAAACATCTTATGGGTACATAAGTGTTGTGAAGAAACCATTTCGGGTTTCTTCAAATAATCTTCACTCAAATTTTCA